CTACAAAGAAGATAACATTGTTACATTCCATCATATTTCAGGTATCTCAAACTGCTCAGATTTTCTCACCAAGAAATACTCAGGTCCTGAAATTCAAAAGACATTAACCTCCACACCATTCAAGAATCATTTCTTTTTAAATCTATAGGTACTTCACTCATTCTTTCATATTCAATCACAACCAATTGAACACCGGTTAACAAAAGACAACACAATATAGTTCCAAATCAAGTTTCATCATATTTAATATTATTACATTCAATAAATACTCAGAAATGAGGGGGGGAATGTCAGGTATTACATAACCAGAATAACCAATTATGCACAATTCATCAATACTCAACATTTCACATCAACTATAAGAAGAATCAAGAATCCACTAATTGTAACATTATATGTATATTAATAGAAGATCGGAATTACCTTATATACACACAGTAGAGGATATTCTGTCAAATACTTATTGTGAACTCCGCTAAAATTGCGCAAAACCCGAAACCTAATATTTTACCGATACTGTGTAACGATCATTCAAAGTGAAATACAAATTACAATAAATGATTCACCAACATTATATATTTAGACTAAAGCTCCATTGTCTTACACTCAGGGAACAAATGAGGATTCTCTTTTTCAAAGTTTGTAATCAATTCAAAACAATACTCAAAATTGAGTTTTGGGCAATAACTTTCTAGCTTATGTGCGATATCTTCTTGATCGTGACTTCCAAAGCTGAACAAGTTATTCAGGCATATAATAATAGACAAACTTATTGTAAGTTCTCCATTCACTTCTTTATAATGTAAAAGAAACTTTAACAGAGTACGGAAAATCAAATCCAACCCCCATTTGATCCTGGTTATATGAGAATCATCAGCCAAAGAAACCTTCCATATTCTCACCAGAAACAATTCCAATGTCTTTGTATAGCCTGCAAAGTCACTTTCATTGTAATGTAGCAGTAATTTAATGTGATATAAGCACGCGGCATCTAAAAGGAAAAACAAGTCTTGGACTGTATACAACAAATCAATTTGATCATTGATCTCTTGATGACTGATATCTTTCAAGCCAGAATTATTATACTTTTGTAGAATTTGGATAGTATTGATATAGATAGGGGCCATTTTGCAGCGTCTATCATCGCTTTTGTAAACCGAAAGATCTTTATTAACAGGATCTGTGATGCACGGTCTTGTTTCGAAGAATATTGCAATGATGGCGTCCATTCTTTGTAGTTCAAGCCAACAAGCCTCCAGTTCAGGGTTTGTCTTACCATCTCTCCATTTGATGAATTTACCAATTCCAACAACTTCATGAACACCAACTAAAATATCTTCACGATATTGGTCCATACCAATCATAAACTCTAATTCCAAAACACCAATCTGTAAACATTTGTAGTTTTTCTCTAGTACCTCAAGATGACAACGACCTTTATATTCTTGAAAGATCTCCTCCACTAATTTTTCCTTTTTATCAAAAGGTATATGAACACATTGGAATTTCTTGAGCCTTATACAAATAGAAAGCAACAACAGCATAATTAATGAATCTTTGAAGTGGGTTGGCTCGAGAGTTTCCTGCTTAAAGTTTTCATAAAATTGATCAACATCTTCTTTCCTTAGAAAAAAGCTATATGCTTTGAAAGATTTTGAAACAGCAGCTATAATGTTATGCAACAAGACTTCATCTTGTTCTTTAGCCACCAATATTTGTGGAAAATTGCGTTTAGCAAATAGTATAGGATCAAGAGATGAAGAGTCAGCAGCAATACTGTGTAATCGTGTGTCAATATTTTGAACCATTTCAAGAAAGTTTGTTCTTGGCCCAACCCTTTTTGATGTTTGAATCTGTTGTAATTTACCTAGCTTCAAATAGTCTTCAAGAGTTGTGCACCTTTGTAACAGCTGTCTTATCATTTCATCTTTATCAGAAATTTTACTAGTATAATCTGAAGAGATCTTTATGATTTTTCTTTGAGCATTTGATGGAAACTGGCATTCAATTTTTTTGCTTAAACAATGTGAGCAAGCTGGTGACAATCGATCACATTTGATCTTTCTCCTTCTGCATTCGACGCATGATATTGTGTAGACTGTTTGTGATTGAAATGCAGAGCTTACTGGACCGTTGGTACTGGTTTGTGGCAACTCCATCATAATGTGAATCAAAATTAATTTGTAATGTATAACTGTTGATTTTTTTTTTTTTTCGCTTCTACAATTTCAACGGATAAAGGCGGTCATTCGCGAAGATTAGAGGATACAAAAACTTTTCCAAAATGACTATTATAAATATTCTATTTTCAACCTATGATACAAAGATACCCTCAAACCTGTTCAGGAATATCATCATGGAAGTATTTCCCTTCCAAAGTTGGTTTGATAACACCAACTCTCACCAAGAAATCACCAAAATGTTCACCATCTTGTCTTTCTAAAGCCCATCTCTTGAATAGTGGTTTCAAGATTGACAACACTTCATCTTCTTTGATACTTTGTTTATAAATCTTATTTAAACGTTGACCGAAATAACCACCACCAAGCATTAAATTATAAACACCATAAGCTTTACCAACTAAAGCAACTTCAGCTAACCATGGTCTAGCACAACCATTTGGACAACCAGTCATTCTCATAACAACAGAATCATGTCTCAGACCATACTCTTCCAAAGCTTCTTCAATCTTGTTGATTAAAACTGGTAAATAACGTTCAGATTCAGCCATTGCTAAACCACATGTTGGGAAAGCAACACAAGCAGCACTTGACAATCTCAAAGCACTGAAATCAGTATTATCCAACTTATAATCATGTAGCAATTGTTTAACAGTTGGCAATTCCTCATTTGAAACAGTCGAGATCAAAACATGTTGATTACCCGTTAATCTAAAAGTACCTTTGGACTTTGGATTTGACTTGAAATATTCAGCAATTTTCTTTAACCCAGTCTTTTGAGGTAATTCAGGAGTATCTTCAACACGACCATTTTCAATGAAGCAAGTGAAATGATGTTGATCTAATTCATCAGTAACCCAACCAAAATGATCAATATTATCTTTAATTTCATAAGCACGTTCTGGTTGAAATTTCTGTCCCCATAACTCTTCAACTTTTTCCTTATAAACTTCAACACCTAATGTATCAACAGTATATTTTAATCTGGCATTTTTACGATCTTTTCTATTACCATGATCTCTTTGAACAAGCATAATCTTTTCACAAACCAAATGCGCTTGATCAGTTGGAACAAAACCAAATGAAGAACCAGTTCTTGGATAAGTCTTTTTGTTATTATGAGTAGAACCCATACCACCACCAACTAATACATTGAAACCAACAACTTCATTATCTTCAATAATAGTGATTAAACCAACATCTGAAGACCAAACATCAACATCATTATATGGAGGAACGGTAATATTGATTTTATACTTTCTTGGTAAATAGGTTGGACCATAAAATGGTTCAGTATCAACAAGTGCATTACCAGCAACTAAAGTTTTAATTTTTTTTGGACCATCTTTTCTTTGTTCAAAAGTTTCTGGCCAATTTGCATCTTCATCATCTTCAGGATCATCACCTTTCAACCAAATTTCATGATAAGCAGTAGTTTGAGGTAATAAATGTTCAGAGATTCTTTTAGCAACATTGTTAACTTCACCATGAATATAAGCATTAGATGGTAATGCACTAACCATAACATTTCTATTGACATCACCACAAGCACCAAGAGTATCCATTAAAACAGAATTCATTGCTCTAATGGAAGGCTTCAAATTGTGTTTAACAATACCATGCAATTGATAAGTCGCCCTAGTTGTCAATTTAACAGTACCATTACCTCTCTCATCGGCTAATCTATCCAACATTAACCATTGATCAGGGGTTGTAATACCACCTGGCAATCTAACTCTAGCCATAAAGATATAGAAAGGTTCCAAGCCAGCAGCTTTTCTAGAATCTCTTAAATCACGATCATCCTGCATATAAATACCGTGGAACTTGGTCAATTGTTGATCTGAAGAAGCAATAGCACCAGTTGATTCATCTTTCAAGCCATCTGCAATTGTACCTCTTAAGAAATCTGAAGCAATCTTGATATCTTCATTAGTAATTGGAGGTGGTTCATCTGCGGTTTTAATATCATCAACACCTAAAGCCTTCCACAATTGAGATTCCCATTCTTTGTAACCAGTTTGGAATCCATCCGCATCTTGATCATCACCAAGTCCTAAAGGAATCAATTCTTTAGCATTTAAAAATAATAATCTTGAATGTAAATCTTTAGCAGGTTTGTTATAGTAATGTTTATCTTGAGCCCTTGGCCAATATTCAGAATCACCCAACCCAAAAACTGATATTTTACTAAATTCTAAATCTAAATCACCAGAATTTTTAATTGAATCCCAAAAATTTTTACCATTTTGTGGAAATTCACCTTGACCAGAAGTTGAAGTAATAAACAAAATTAATTCTTCAGTGACTAAATCTTCTAAAATAATATCATCCATTGACAAAACAGTTGATTTAAAACCTCTTGCAGAAGCTCTTTTACCCAATTTCTTTGCAACATTTTCAGCGTTACCACCATCAGATGCAAAATAGATTGAAATTGGAGGTCCTGATAAACCTTCCAATAATTGATCATAAGCTTGTTGGGCTTTCTTATCTTGTTTTTGTTTGATAATTGAAGTTGAAGATTGTTTTAAAGATCTAGCAAATTGTGGATTTTTGGCACTCAATAGAGTCAACTTATTTTCACGATCCAAGAAATTCTTTAACTGTTCTTTAATAACAGTTGAATCTAATTTGAAAGAATCTTTTGAATCCAAGAATGGATTATAACGATATAATGGAATGAAACCAGATTCAACAGAGTTTTTGGTATTTGTCAAGATATCTAATGGAGTGTCAAACTCATTCTTCAATGGCAAATAAGCTAAAATTATTGATGGACCTTGGAATTGAGCAGCTTCAATTAAAGTTGTCAACATTTGAGTGTATGAAGAATAGATAGCAATGGAACCAACATAAGCATTTCCATAATTCATAGCATATAAACCAATATCTTTCTTTCTTAAAGACTTGGTTTTTGTAGTTTTAGTTGAATAAGGTTCATTATCGATAACCAAGACATTTATATTCTCATTTGATTCCAAAACATGATGAATACCTGAAGTACCTAAATCATAAGCCCAAGAATCTGAACCAATTAACCAATTTGAATTGATAAAAAATGAATTTTCCAAAGATAACAAGTTTTTAGAGGTTTCTGAATCATCCTCTTTCAAAAGTTTGATGATTTCAATAGATAATTGATTATAAGTATTGATTTTATCTTGAGATAATCCTTCCAATTCACGATGATAGACCAACCATTTGGATAATTTCTCAACCAATTCATTCAACTTTGGAGTTTGGAATTTCTCATCTGGTGTATCTAATGAAGCATGAATCAACTTAATCAGTTTTTGTTTTTGTTCATTCAAATAAATGTAAGAACCAAATCCAAACTCTGGTGATGATGCATTAATGTTTTCAGAATTGAATTGATTATAAATTTTCAAGTTTGAGCCAAATACTTGATCAAGAATTGTTAGGTAACTTGATTCTAACTTACTGATCTTTTCAATTTCATTAACTTTGATATCAGACAGTTCGATTTGAGACTCATTACCAAAATATAAGTTCTGAATTGGATAATCTAATGATAAATTAGAAGTGACAATTTGAGCCAATTTATTGAAATCATCATCATAATCACCAATTGATGATGAAGTAATCTTCAAAATACCATTATCAACCAAATATGTTGGATCTTGGAAAAATTCCAATAGTAAAGGTGAAAATTTGGTCAAAGGTTTTGAATTTGAATCTTCTAAAATAGCAATAGCTTCCACTGAACTGGTCAAGTTTCCCAAGATTTGAGAAATTTCAAAAGGTTTGAATATTTTAATATTAATTGTTGGTAATCCGCTTGACTTCAAGTCATTATAGTGAGAACCTAAATTAACCAATGCAACTTTGGAATTTCTAGAACCTTTGGAAAAATCAACATAATTATATTTCATTCCATTTGAGTTCAAAATATTTAAACCATCAACTAGATCAGTAGCTTGAGTTTCCAAGATTTTGGATAATGATTTGGAGATTTTCACATTTGGAGATTGTTCAACCAAACTTTCGTTGATGAAATGTAATATTGGAGAGTTTGTTGAATTAACCAAGATATGTGATAAAGTTAAAGCATTTAAAACATCTTCCTTTGTGGAAGAGATCAAAGTAGTAAAGTTTAAATCTTTCAAAGCAATAACAGATTGGTAATTTGATAATGCAATATTGATGATGGTATTATTCCTTAGTGATTGAAGATGAGGTAAAGCTTTCAAAACAGTTTGATCATTTGTGAAGATGATACTAGCAGATTCTTGAGATTCTTGAGACTCTATTATGGATTGGAATGGATCTGAAAAGTTTAAAAGAACATGATCAGAAGGTATGATTGTTTTTTGAGATTTTGATTCCAATGTTGAGTAGACAACAAATTCACCAGCACCAGCGTTGGCTGAAACGTAGGAGTAAAAATCCTCTAGAACCATGATGATAGCAAACAGCTTTTGGCACTTGAGTAAATTAGAAGAAAGAGAAAGAGAGAAATCTTTTCAATTGATAATAGCGTTGAGATAGATGATGGTTGTTGATGTCGTTATGGCTGATGCAGTGGCTAATAAATCATCAGTTCACGTGATCTTTGATGGCTAGTGCTTACGAAGAAAAGCAGTCTCATTGGCTGGAGCGAGTTTTCGCTATTTTGGGGCATAAAAACCTGGTGGAAAAGGCTAGTGGTAATACCACAGTAGCACAAGGGCTTTGATATGATTAATAGTACACTACACAGTTGTTTTGGCGTTGTACAATTCTCTATGTCGTTATCAAAGTGAAGGGGAATGGGAACTGTGGTTCAATGATGCGATACTCGGTACGGCCAGCACTTTCCCATAGTTAACGGCCTAAACTGTGGCATAGTGAAATGGCCTTTGAACTCCATGAAGGGAACCGGGCTCTGGACTTTGTATGGAGTCTGGACTTTGAAGACAAGCCACACAGCTGAGGCTGGTGAGTCGTGATGTCACGTGGCTTTTATAGACCATCTGCCATTTTCCAAAGGGTCGGTACCTCGAGGGTTTCGCGAATATAACCTATGATTCAAGTAAACGACCAACAACAACAACAACATCTTGGTCATCATCAGAGAGTACATTAGGAAATGCTATGAAGGTACTAGTACATTACCATCAATATCACTGCACTAAAATTGCATCACCCCAGTTACACCGTGTCTAAGATGCTAGGCACAATTTCAATCGCTCACCCCTTATACGTCAGCAACACCAAAATTGCTTGCTACCTCAAAACAACCGTATAAAGCATTGTCAATTTATCTTCACGATTTTCGTTAAACCCAAAACTAGTTTTAACAGCTCTACCCTAAATTATGCCACTAAAAAGATCCCCATCACCTAACTCATCAGCATCATCATCGGCTACCAAAAAATTTAAAACAAGTCATCATCTTGATTTTAGTCACTATATTAATCTCAATTCAAAGTCTTATCCATTCAAACATTCTACAAAGGCAGCAATCAAATGGAATAATGGTTCCAAAAAAAAACCGTTTGAAATTTTCGAGGATAAATACAATGAAGGTAAATTAAATGAAGATGAGAAATATTTGGTCCATTGGTTTAAAAATGATTTGAGAATTCATGATAACACATCACTGTATCATTTGGTTCAAGATGCTCAAAAAATTAATGCCAAACCAATTGGAATTTACATCATTTCTTTGAAATTTTTAGAGTCTCATTTAGAATCCGCTTTAAAAGTGCAATTTATTCAAAATACTTTAAAAGTATTGCGTGAATCATTATCAAAATTAAACATACCATTATCCATAATATATCTAGATGATTCTAAAGACAAGTATAAATTGAGTTCAAATTCATATGACTCATTCAAAGATTGGCTTACTGCTTTACTAAATGAAAAATTTCAAACAAACTCAATCTATTACAATGTGAACTATGAATACGATGAATTAAACAGAGACATTTCATTACTATCATCCAATTTAAATATTAAAGCATTCCATGATCAATGTATTGTTAAACCAATGGAACTTACATCAGGTAAAGGCACTCAATATTCCAAGTTTTCACCCTGGTTCAAGAAATGGGATTCCTATTTGAACTCATCCCCAATTGAATTGTTGCAAATTCAACATAAATTCGAGAAATGGGATTGGTCACACTTACCAAATGATGATGACTATAAACTCCCTCCTCAGTTTCAAGTATCTTCATTAAAAGAAGTTGGGGTCACTGATATTGGAAACTTTGAGAATTTAAAAGGTGGTGAAGATGAAGCTTTGGAAAAGTTGGAAAAATGGATCTCAAACAGTATTAAAGAATATCAATCCGAGAAAGATTATCCATCTTTATCTTCAACCTCAAGATTATCACCATATATTACCCAGGGTTCCATTTCACCTCGTTTAATTGTCACAAAATGTCAAGAGGCAAACAATAATAAAAGAATTGGAGGCAACACAGGTATAGAAACTTTCATCAAAGAAGTTGCATGGAGAGATTTCTATAGACATGTAACAGTTAATTGGCCTTATCTGATGATGTTTGTACCTTTCAACTTAGGGTTGATTGATTTGAAATGGTCAGATGATTATTCCAGGTTTGAAAAATGGTGCTTGGGAGAAACAGGGTTCCCAATTGTTGATGCTTCCATGAAATGCTTGTTACATACTGGATATATGAACAATAGATGTCGAATGGTTGTTTCTAGCTTTTTATCTAAGGATTTGGCAATGGATTGGAGAATGGGTGAACTCTGGTTTTATAACCACTTGATTGATGCAGATTTGAGCTCAAATAATGGAGGTTGGGGGTTTAGTTCAAGTACTGGATTAGATGCACAACCGTGGTTTAGAATTTTCAATGTTTACACTCAAAGTGAAAAATTCGACCCAGATGGTGTTTTTATAAAAAAGTGGCTACCTAATTTATCAAAGCTGGAAAACTTTCATGAACCTTATAATGAAAAAATTGACGCTAAAGAAATTGAGAAATTAACAAATGGCTATCCGAAACCAATCATTGATAGGAAACAAGCTAGAGAGGAAACTCTTGAAAGATATAGAGAAGCAATGTAAGATCTATACCATTAATGCCAAGTTAAAAATGTGTAATTTATAAGTCATCAAAGTTTCTAATACGAATAGGGACAAATAACTCAGATGTTTGACCATTTTTAAACCCAATTTCAACCCCAATAGAATATACCCTTGATAATACACAGCTTTGAAAGTTTGGAATCAATGTTTCGGGTATTTTTTCTTTAAAACTTAGTGATAAATTAACATCTCTTTCCCAACTTCCATGTGATGATTCCCAAGTTGATTCGTCAATTGAATAGTCAAATGCTTGTATTGAAAATTTATCAACTTGTAAATCCTTCATGGATTTGATATCTTGTAGTATTGACTTATCCAAGTAAGAATTAATATCAATTGAGTTTGACTTAAACTTGGCTTGAAGGTCGGTAAATGTTTCATGATAATTTTGAAACTTTGCCTTCAAACGTTGTAAGTCTTTTTCTTTCAAAAATAAATCTTGTGATAGTTTGATTGGGATCGGTGATGGTGAATATATGTTGAACACAATTAATGAAGCTTTAACAAATTTGATTGAAGGTGGGATGACTTCTAAAGAGTTATCAGATGGAATAAAATTCAAGTGAAGTTTCAAAAACGTCAACTTTTGCTTTTCATTCATAGATAATGAAGATGATAACGTATCATAATTCTTCAACCCAATTTCTGACAATTTTGAAACCTCGTTTGTCTTTCTTAAAAGTGAAGGTGATCTATAAGGTAAACCATCTTTTGGAATTTTTGCTGAAACTGTTATTAAGCCACTTTTGGTAACATTTAATGATGCTTTTCTTTGTCCGTTTTTCAACATATTCAAAAACTTTGATTTTCCTTCAAGATAGGTTAATTGAGCTTCAACTTTTGAGAAATCAGAACCACCAAAATGTTTATTTCTCAAGGGGAAACTTTGATTGACAGAACCACTGTAATCAATAGAGGAGACTTTAAGCTGTCTAGTTTTAATTTCTAAATCAAACTTCTGAACCTCATCAGCGTTACCTTCAATACTCAATTTCAAAACACGCTTAGCCATTTCGAATCCATGTTCAATACTTTCCGACATTGTATCCAAGGTTTTCTTTGATGAAAATAAAGGAACAGCAAAACCAAAAGGAATGAAACGTAATGCATATTCATCTTCTTTCAATACACTCAGTGTTGTAGGGTTCTTTGGACTGACACCAATCAATTTAGCATTTATACTATAGCTCACACATAATTTCCTTTGAGATAAATCCTTTGTTAATACTGGAGAGCCACGGGTACCAAGGTGACCATAGTTCAACACTGGATTCAACTCTATTTCTGAAAACTTTCCTTTGTTTTTCAATATATCAACACCCAAACTTGGTGGTAAAAGAGTATGAACTTCTTGTTGATGACGACACACATTGTCCAATAAGTTGTAAGGAAACTTGAACGCAAAAAATTTCTTATGTTTTGTATGCGGAGCAATTATTCTATCATTTCTCAATCCAAGAATACAACCTTCTTGATCTTTGGAAAGTGGCTCAAAAGAAATGTTTGCTGTTGGAGAAACACAACCGGGAGACCAACTAGCACTCATATCAACCATTGTTAAGAATCTTTTAATAAATTGCTTCTTATTTTCCTTATCGATAATTGTAATATAACCTTCTAAAGTAACATGAAACATTTGAAATTGAATAGGTTTATCTGAGACATTATCAACAACAACGTAACCATGAACAACATCACCAGAGGTGTACTCTTTCAACATAGACTCCATCTCATACTTTTTGCGTGGGTATAATGGAACATCTTTTGTGACATGAACACTCACTTGAAGATTATCTGAATCAATATGTGGTAAAGTATGAGATCTATCAACAATATTTCTTTCAATATCTTCAGATAGAGGGGAGGAGGATGGTATAGAATGGAATGAGGTGTTTGCAGGAGTTGTTGCATGAGAAGAAGGTTCATCATTCATGGTCATAAAAGACTCAGACCCACAACTTTCCTGAGTATTGAAGTAATCAGGAGGTTCCACATTTGAATTTTCCGTTGATGATGTGAATTGGAAGGCATGATACATTTCAAAAGAAGGCAACACGTCAAAAACCAATTGATTTTGAGTCTTTGTATCCATTTGTTTGAAATGATCATCATTTACGTGTTGAGCAAATCCAATTTGCACTTTATTAGAACCTAATTCTCCCTGGGAAGCATTCAACTTGGATAAAATTTCTTGTGATTTCTTTCTTTCTCTCAACATTGCATTGGTATAGTCTATTCTTTCATCTTCAAAACCATTGTCTTGATCTTCTTGATCATTAGCTATGTGACTTTGGCCTAACTGGTTATCAATTGAGCAGTTTCTAGATGACATTGTTGATAACTAAACACAAACAAATGGTTAATGTAATAGGTTCCCAGCTCTTTATAAGAAACAATTGAGTTGAGTCACTGGAAAGTAATACGTGTACTCTAAGTAGATCTTGCAGCTTGGAAACCGTTGAGAATTACTAATTGAGGTTTGTGCATCATGAAATTTTCACCTATCTAAAAGAGGGAAACGAACACAATCGTTATAGCAAAGAATTAATAGAGTCACACCCAAGAAAGGACCCCTTACTTATAATTTTATAGATTCTTCTAGATGAAACCAATCAGCCCTTCCGTTATTCGGAAGCACAAATATTATTTTTCCATTGTGAACCGATGCCAATGGCAGATTTACACTGTGACTCACGTATCAACTACAACAATTAAAATAAATCAGTACATTCAAAATTGACTAAAGATCAACCCCAAGCAAGTCTAACATCTTCATCTTTTTCCCATTTCTCAACAAGTTCCGATTTTCTCAATTTCCATTCTTCAATCTGTTTCTTTGTAATGATTGGGAATTCACGTCCATGATCTCCTAATTTAGAGACACCACCACCTAATTTTGTCAAATCATCAAGATATTCAGCAACTTCGAATTCGGACCCCAATCTATGATAAGCTCTAGATATTCCAACGGTTTCTTCTCTGTTTTTAACCCATTCATATTGCTCATCAATAGACGGTAACTCAATTTTCCCACTCAAAAACCTGGAGATCAAGATGGATTGGTATTCAAAAGCTCTAAAACTTAAGGCACCAATAGGGACTCCCAATGTTGAAATAAATGGATCTGGAATATGAAATGTATGTTGGAAGCTTTCTGGAAGTCTCACCCCCTTTTCACTGAAACTTGGCCATAGATGTCTCAAAAATGGATAAGAATAATCATACCCAGTTCCATAAATAACGAAGTCAGGGTTTTCTAAAACAGAACCATCTTCAAATTCAATATTGAAACCCTGGTCAGTTAAAATGTATTTAGTTACAGTAGGTTTTAATCTGGTTTTTTTATCAATCAACAAAGTTCCTATCTTCAATTTTGGCTCCTTGAATTTCTCTGACCTATAAACTTCATTTGAATGATGAGACAACACATAAGAAATATCAATTCCGGAAGCAGAACCACCAATCACCAGCACTCTTTTCCCATGATACTTGTCCTGGTTTCTAAATTGTTTGGCGTAATCGATACGCGTTGGAAACTTCTCTTGTACTTCATTTAATCCTTCAACATAGGGAATATAGGGAACATGGTAGTGACCAGTTGCTAAAACTAAAGCGTCAAAAGACTCTTTCCACCAAACATCATATAATTCACCCGATGAATCTTTAAGATCAGTCTCTTGTCTTAATGTTAAAATAAATGGTTGATTAGCTTTTGAATAATCCTTATCAACTCTTTCCAAGGTTGTTCTCAATGTCAAATTGTCTCTATTTCTTTCAAAGTATTCGTTAATGTATTTTTCCACAAAACGTCTTGTTGTAAAAGGCTCTTCAGCAGGCTTTTGTGGATCTGGCCATCTTGGAATGTCTGAAAATGTCATAAAATGCTCCGGAACATTTGTTCTAATGTCTTCATAAGCAGGAGTATAAATGAATCGTTGTTGTTGTGATCTTGGGACGATGATTTTATCACCACTTTGAACCTTCGGAATCTCTAATGGTACATCATTTACACTTTCATTAGATCCTGAAGATATTTTGATTTCATCATACTTTGAATCTAAATGCCAAACACCACCAACTACTTCACGTCTTTCAAAAACTTTGATTTTCTCGAAAGCATGCTCTTTTTTCAAAACATCAACAGCAACAGCACCTGAAGCACCAGCACCTATAATTGCAACTGATTTTACTTTAAAATTTTCAACTGTCATGGTCTATAGGTGCTTGTTAGACGAACTATCAATAGTATCTGAATGGAAACCACACACGCTTTATACCTATAAAAACTGTGGAAAATGACAGCGTTTGAATCTCCAAATTTGGTATAACCAAGCCACATAATCTTCAACAAACCACTGACGAGATTAACTGTTCCACGTAAGACAAGATAATCCATGTTTGACCATTTCAAGGGGTTGAAGATTGAAACATTTACACTATAATGTTAAATGGTTGTTATATCCCCTTTCCATGATTAATACCACTGAGTCTTCAAATTATGGGAGAGCCTAGTAACCTGGGAGCATTCACAAATAGTCCATTGACCGACCCTTTGGAACTTATCTTGCTTGATACAAGAACTAATTAATTAGATACCTATAGTTCTGATCCGTCAATAAAAAGCTGTGGCGTGGAATGACATAAACCCCAGATTTCATTGCATCAAATATACAAAACTTCCAATTCCAACCCATTATTTCTTGTACTGAAAAATTATCATAGCTTTGTCTGTTCGTTGTCTTGCGATAAAAATAAAAGGGTGCCAAGATTCTATTGTTTGTTTCTTTAAACACTTGAATTGTTTTTAATGGTTCGAGGCCCTGGTAAATAAGGAGTCTCACCGATAAATGAGCGCCAGCAAGATTGAAAAAATTGTTTTACACTAGATATTGTGAGACTTTTAACACCATCTGAGATAGAAGGACTAAAATCATGGTTTAAACCTTTTAAAGGATCAAATAATGATGAAAATCAAGAAGAAGTTTTAAAAATTGAATCCAAGAACAAGACCAACATGTATAAGGACTACTTCCTTGATAAAGATTTTGGTGAAGAAAAAACTCCCAAGGTGTTGAAAGATATAGAAGGTAAAGAAATTAATGTTGAATCATTCAAAGGGGTGAATAAAAAGCTGAGAAGATTACATGAAGAACCATTGACTAGAACTCCAAGCTATAAGGTAGATTTTGGTGATGAAACTGAGGAAGAAATTAAAAAGAGATATGCTGAATTTTGGGACTTTCTTGCAAAAGTTAATAAAAATAAACCTGGTTATCTTGAAACATTACATTTATTCAATTTAGGAGTCGTGGAACATTATTATTTCAACCATAAAAAAGGGGAATAATGCAGTGGTTGTGATAAACAAGGTGAAACTTTATATCATACCTTTAAAAAATGTGTTATCACACACTATATTTGGGAAGAATTAGGATTCAGTGATTATCATTTCCCAAGACCTTTTAGTTTGACGGAATTAACCACTCCAACTGATCATACCCAAGATGAAAAATTAATGAGAAAGATGTCACTTTGGATAGAAATTTTAGCTTATGCTCGTTTTGCAAAGAAAGATGGTTTGACTTTTAGCTTATGCTCGTTTTGCAAAGAAAGATGGTTTGACTAAAGAGCAAGTGGTTAATGCTGCCAAATATAAACTTAAATTGATTCATCCGAAGTATGGTTTTAAAGACTACAAATGGGTATGAAAATCGACTGCTAGAACAACTTGAGATGAAGTTGAAGTTGGATAAAGATTTAGAATAGAGAGATAGTGGGGATTAAGTACAATACACCTACGGTATTACAAAGATGATAGAAACTCCTGTTTTGAAATTTCTTGACTTTATTGATTAGGTTGCTCTATAAGGAAAGAAAGAAGGAAAGAGCTATCAAATTGAGCTATTCAATATTGGAATTCTACTTGGAACATTACAATATTTAATCTTCGATTGGTGTATATAAAAGTATAAAGAATAAATAGTAGGATCTTGTCCTCCTTTAGAAATAATGTAAACATCAAGACTTCTTATCATAATCCTTTAGCCGATTACCTCTGGTAATACATTAACGGTTAAATTTTATCTCAAGTACAATGAAATTATGAAACCAAGTACAATCAGCTTTTTAGGATTCACCAAGATGATACAATATCTAACTTGGGTTAAAGTACTTGTGGTTCTGGAAATATTTCAAATTACTTATAATGCTTAAAATATAGAAAATGCTATATAGAACTCTCAAAACTGATTTGAATTTAAAACTTTCTTTTGGATCTACTGGTGAAGCCATGAGTTTAGTTAGAATGGAAACTTTGAAGTCGATATCAATTCTAATTCTTGGACTATATGTATTTTTGTTTACTATGGGTGCTCAAAAATTTTGTTCAACTAAGGAAATGAAATTTTATTTTGAGCTTGTATTGTTTTGAAACTAGGGATATAGCATCCTTAAAGCACACTGATTAAGGTGGTTATAGTCATTTTTCATAGAACTCTTTATTTGCTTAAGATATTGGTAATTAAAATTGGTCAATATAGTGAAAAATCAAATTCTTCAAAACAAGCCCGAATCTTATATAAATTTGCAAGTAGATACTCTAGAGAATTCTGATGATACGATAGGTATTTATCTTTAATCTGTAGTAGCAGATTATAGAGTTATTCGATAATGAGATATCTTATCAGGTGACAGATCACGTGACCGATCACATGATTGACTTTGTTGCATATATCAAGCATTATTTCGAAATTGAGAAGGTTTCAGGTTCTAAGAGCTTGGTACACGCAATAATTGGCTTGCTAGATGTTACAACAGGTCTTATTTCTTGAAAATAGTGTGATTTGAAATTTTAAAATTTTATTGTTTTATAAATTTTAGATTTTATTTTAATAAACTCTAGGTATTATAAATAAAGTTAGAACTAAGTCTTCAAAATATTATAGGCAGTGGAATTATACTTCTGGTAGATAATGTATTGATTTTAGCAATTAATAATAGTTGCATACTCTGGTTTAGAGTTTGTATTTAACTTTTTCTATTGTTATGTTAGGTGGTATCGAAAAACTTAGTTTTGGGGATAAATTGTTCATCTTTCAACAGGTGTAAGTGCTAGCGAGCAATTAGCTCATGGAGTGAATAAACATTTGCAAAGGAGACATCTGAATTAGAAGTATTGTGGTAAAAGTATTAGAAAATGAAGTATATTGAGTGCTATTAATGACAAATAGATGAAGCTACGTCAATTCTTCAGAAGTATTGGTGCATTGGACTTTTATATTGCATGATTGCAGAGATAAAGATGTGATAAGGGTATTACTTATGTGGTCATGACAGTAACAAAAATCATTGATGTTTTATGCATTTTTCTGAAATGGGATGCTAAGGGTCTGGCTTATGTGAGACTTCAGCTTGGATTACTGTCATGGGGTGAGTTTATGGTCAAGATAAGTGTAAACTGGATGATTTACGTATAATCTATGCGGGGATCGGGATGCTGTATGTTATTGTTTATAAATATTGAAGGATGATGGAGTTTGAAGTTTTAATAAGTATTGTAGTGAGGCTATCAGTATTTTTAGCAAAATTGGAAGGATTCAGAAGGTAATAAGTGATTGGAGAAAAACTTTGAAGCAGTGAGAGAATGGGAACTCTGTAATGGAAAAAGGAAAGACAAAGAATTGAAGCGATTGGATAAAGCTGTAAGTGAATCGTTGAAATTTCAACTCACGTTAAAGATGGTTATATGATTGGTAAATAGGGCGGTGAGCGCTGTGACTCAATGGGAGTAAATGGTTTGAGCACTGAGAGAGACAGTATGGGAACTGACAAGCACTTGCAGTCGCTTAGGATCTCAATCAGCACAGCTCTCAACTATCGAACACTCGTCTCGCTGCTTAGGTCATCTGTGTTACAATCGTCAAGAGATTGTCTCAACAAGGTTACGGACAGCAGATCACAGGTTAAGGTGACTGTTCAGATAATCTGGAGACTGAGACTGTATTGTATAACGAACGTCTCACTGAATTCACAAAAGTAGCTTTTTTTTTTTTTAACAGACAACGTTCTTATATTTCTAATCTTTTCTAACTATACAAGTACTTCCATTAAGTTCATTTTCCAAATTCACATTTCTCATCAATAATTAAAACAACCACTAGATTTCTAGTAATTGGTTTCTTAAAATAATAGGTTTCCAAAAAAGACTCTAAGCGTCAAATCATCAATCAACTTAAGATTTCATAATACAGAGGGATATAATTTATCTTTGTAACACCCTATTGATGTTGAATTTGTCCTCAACCATATATCTATCCTAGCATCTCAACAACACAACCTTTAAACCCCTTCAGAACCTCTTTCTCATCTCTACTCACCTCTAAAACCATACTTTTGTTGAATACTTCTCATCTTGTATTTGGTAGCTGAAACAGCTTCTTC